AATAGGAATGACCAACGGGGGCGTTGCTAGTGGGTGGAGCCTGTCTCAGGCTCGACCCAGTTTGAAAGTGAACCAACGGCTCCAGTCGCAGCTTCAACCCCAAACAACAACAAGAACCCGAGACCCGGAGAACCAGACTCGGTCCAGTCCGTTTCACCTGCAGCCGGCCCTCCTGACGAGTGAGTACCCCGATCGGCCTTCCACCGCGGGGCTGCGGTAAAATAGCAGTGTATTTGAGCCGGAGATGAGCTGGATGTGCCGGGCATCTTGTTTCTGATGTGGGCATCCAGAGAGAAAAGATCCGGAATAATAGCTGGAAAACGGGAATAAAATGTCCGCTTTGACGGTGGCAGCCTGGCGGTGGTGGGATGTGGTGTCCTTCCTGGTCCTTTGTGTGCTCCCTCTCGGAGGACTGATCCAGACATGGTGTTGTAAACACGAAACGCCCATTTTGGAGTATGAATGCCAGGAAATAGCCTGACCCCGTCTATATAACGCTGACCTCTCCGATGCATAGACGGAGCCCTTCGTTAAAAATGCGCAGTAGACGTAGAGACTGTGTGTTTCCATTGCAGCACCGCCCGTATCAGCATTACCGGCGGTGCTTTGGGATAAATGTGTCCGTGAATCACCGGAGAGCCCCGCGGTGCTCTCTGCAGCCTCTCTACGGGTTTACCGGGACTGCGAGCGACTGTTAGCCGCTGCTAGCAGAGGGGGATGGGGCGGCTAGCTCCGCAGAGGGCGGGAAGCAAATGGTGGTCCATTGTTCTGAGAAGCTAGCGTGGCTAGGCTAACCGCAGCGGCCGCAGATCAGCGCGAGTCCCGGATACTCCCCTCCATCCGCCCCAGCGAGGCTCTCACACCTCCAGCCCGGGGCGTACAGCGGGTACCGGGCTCCGTGGGGAGCTTCCAGCGCGGACATAAGGAGGAGAGACTGCCGGAGGGCCTCCCTCTGCCCGGCAGAGAAAATGGAGCCCGTCTGCTGCCTTTGTTATTCACAACGAGGCCCAACGGGGAGCTGTTACCGGACATTTACCGTTAAATACGGGCTCATACCGGCGGAATATAACCGGTTTATGGGTTAAAGTCACAGCGTGAAGAACAGCAGACTCACGGGTTAAAAGGTCATTGCACACAAATGTGTTTAAAGCTGAAATAAAGGTTAAATCCAGTCTGACAGCTCATCGTTATTGTGTCAGTGATGTTTGAACAAAACACCCGTTAATAACCCCGATCAGCTCCTCTGATCAGGTATTATCAATAACATGGACCCACAGTGGCTGACCATCAGGTTTCTCTGTGATGAGTTTAGTATTTGATGGTCAGTAATCACAGCGATCAATAATCACCACCAGCGCACTGAATGTAATGTAAAATAGACCCATGTTTCATTACTGATTAAACTATATCACAGCAGGGGTCAGAGGTCAATGCCTCCCTAGTGTCTTAGTATTTACTGACAGGTCAGAGTTGAATTGTGAGTAAATATAAAGTCCTTTACTGTCATTGTACGTGTACAACAACATTATGGACCAAGTCTATAAATGCATATCTGTGGTGTCTGCAGCACTGCCTCGGCTCTCCGTCCCCCTCACTCTTCTTCTTCTGTGGTGGTTCTTCAGGCCGCCACGATGATGCGTAAAGACATCAACAAGCCGAAGGGGAAGACGTCGGCGTACGCCTTCTTCGTGCAGACGTGTCGAGAGGAGCACCGCAAGAAGAACCCTGAGCAGTCGGTCAACTTCGCCGAGTTCTCCAAGAAGTGCTCCGAGAGGTGGAAGGTGAGGGGGGGGGGACCTGGTCACATGACCACCTGACCCATCAGTGTGTGAGTAACAGCTCACCTACCTGTGTTCAGCTGTCCTATCAGGACACAGTAAGCTGCAGCTGTTTGACTGGTTTCAGTGGTTATAGTGGGAGCAATAAAGAGTTGTCATGGTGTTCCTGTGCAGCAGCTCCAGTCACGGACTTACAGTGTAACTCATTCAAACTTTTGGCAGGTTAACAGGCTGTGTGAGCAGAGTCGATGTTCTGTGTGTGCCTCGAGCCTCACAGCACAAACACTCTAAACTGCAGAGGAGCACGGGGTGTGTAAAACCACAGCTCAGTGTTCAGGAGTGACGTTCACTCTGAGGCAGCAGAAACAGCTGCTTACAGGCAGCACAGACTCAGAGGATCCTGCTGCTTCACACTGAGCTGTGCAGGACTCACCTGCACAGGTGGATCCGCCTCTGACCTGTTTGTTATGTGTCACATACACGGCCGACACACAGA